AATTTTGAGACAGGGGAATTTCCAGTCTCTACTAAATTGCCCAGGTTGGGCTTAAAACTGAGATCCTCCTGCCTCAGCTTTCCAGATTGCTGGGATTACATCATGCCAGCATTGGGTGGGGACCTTCTTGGTGCTCGATAGTATGCAGAAGGCGTCACGGGCTGAGATAGAACAAAGGTAGGTCATCTCAGGTCTCTCTTCCTCTTCTTATAAAGCTCCCAGTCCTATCACGGTGCCCTCACCCTTGCCGCCTCTTTTAATCCTCCTAAATATATGAATTTACAGATTAGGTTTTTAACACATGAAATTCGGTGGGCGTGATCTAACCGTCACAGTCCCCATATCTCCATCAGTTTTCTGTCAGGAAAAAAATCTTTCCAGCTGAGACGGTGTCCTTTACGAAAGAGACATGTATTGGGGGTGTGGGTGAGGGGCTGGAGTCCCATGGGAAATCACTGGGTGGGAGATAGGGAGGAACACTGACTGGGACAGATCCCCAGGAGCATGGCTTGCCCCTCGCTGTGGCGAGTGAAGCATTGGACTACGTTGGCCATGGGAGGCTTTGGCCTCTGCCCAACTTCTTTGTGACCCATGGAGAAAAGGACCCAAGCCCATCACGGGCAGGGAGAGAGATGGAGAGTCGAGGAGTCCCACAGCCCTGGAGTCTCCGTCCGAGGGAGAAACAGCATCCAGTACCGGAGGAGGAAAGCCCCACGGCTCCTGCCTGTGGCTGGGACGGGTATCTTACGACATCGGGTGGGATGTGGTGCATCTCTCTGGTCTGTCAGGGTGTTCCCTGTTGGCACCATGCCAGATCATGCCTCTCGAAGAATCAAGACTGGAAATTCCCCAGAGCTCATTTCCTACCATTTAATCCTCAGCTCAGGGCCACAGCTGCCAAGTCTGGCTACCAAGGACAGATGCCAAGCACCTTCACGCCCGTCCAGCCCTCCCTCCAGAAGCCCCTGTCCCAGGACACAAGCACCCACCCCCATCCTCCCTGTCTCCCCTCCAAGGAGGTAGATCAGGGCGAGAAGAGCTATATTGAATCTGGACTCCACCACTCCCCAGGTGTGTGACCTCTGCATGGGTCACTTGCCCTCTCCGAACCTCTGGTCTTTATATGTAAAATGAACAGTTAGATGTACTGTATCATGGTGCTCTCAGGATAAACAAAAGTGATTAACAACGTATCAATGGACCCTTGAGTTAACAGCCTGACATACAAACAACTTGGGTTATGACCAGAATTGTAGTTTTAACTCATGACCAAAGTCTTGAGTTATGACTCCAGTGTGGGCCGCTTGTGCTTCCAGACTGTCTCAGATACAGATTTAACCCATAAAAGTTCTGGAAGAAGCCGGGCTTGGTAGTGTATGCCTGTAATCCCAGCACTCCGGAGGCTGAGGCAGGAGGATTGCTCCAAATTCGAGGCCAGCCTGGGCTACAAAGTGAGCTCAAGGCCAGTCTGAACTGCATAGCGAGACCCTGTCTCAAAAAGACAAAAAAATAAATAAACGGTTCTGCAAGGAACATTACAACAGGAACATTACATCACAGTGTCCTTTCCTGTGTGGGGTTAATAAGAAATTCTGGGCTGACGTCTCTCGAAGGACTCAGATCTGTCTGTGTACAGAAGAAAGACTTTGAAGGCTGTGTAGAGGAGCCTGAGCCTTCAACTGACAATCTGAGTTACAACCGGCCCGCTGGAATGAATGGCGTTTGTAAGTCAAGGGTCCACTGTTGGCTGTAGGTGCACTCAGTGAGTGCTTGGTGCATGGGTGATGGTCTGGCCACACTTACCCACTTATTCATCCCTCCCTTGGCCCTTGGGACCCTGTGCCTTGTCCTCATACCTTCTAGACGCAGAACACCTGGGCCAGGCTATTTCTCTTCCTCTCCACACTGATCAATCCTTGCACCATGCGGAAAGTGTCTTTTGGGCCCTGGCTCCATGTACCTAATGCAAAGAGCAAGAGGAAAAATGTTGGGGAAGTCCTGGCCGGCTGGGGATGGTGGCTGGCCACCCAGAGGAGGTGGTTTGATCACGGCGACTTCATCATGGTCGGCACCTGGCCTTTGGCTGATGTGTGTACACTGCAGACAACCAGCATCAGGGGTCAAGTCATGTAAAATGGACACACGAAAAGTGAGGGACAGAGCCACAGCGCCAGCTGATCAATGTCCCCAGTGGCCCGGATAGGCACATCTCACCTGGGACCTCATAAGAGTTACTGGAATCAGAATGAGGACATGGTTTGGGGTGATTTTTTATGGTATTGGGGATCTACTCCAGGGTTTTTGTACTGAACTATATTCCCAGCCTTTTTAATTTTAAAAATTTTTAATTATTTTTGAGGCAGGGTCTCACTAAGTTAAATTGCCCAGTCTGGGCTCCAACTTTCCATCCTACTGCCTCAGTTTCCCAAAGTGCTAGGGGTTACCAGCACAGTATGGCCCCAACACACCCCAATTCACTGGGTGACCTTAACGGCTGTTGACATCAAAGGTCAGCCTGTGACATGTGCACATCTAACCTGTGGCCTGGTCACTGATGTTTTGGGGCAGAGCACCCCAGTCTGGAGACCACAAAATTTGGTCTCTGGCTGCCCTTGTCTAATAGGGCACCGAATTTGCTCCCTGCCTTGGCATTTTTCCTCAGACAGAGACAGTGCAGTCCATGCTCCCGGTTGTAATCACGATCGTATCTGCTGCTCTGAGGTTTCACCCAGTCTCCCTAATTGGATTTGGGACACCCATAGACAGACAGTCTCCTAGTTAATTTCCACAGGAGACTGATGTCCTTGCTTAAGCTGGGTTCCTTCCTAAATGAATTCTCAAAAGGCAGCATCAGCTTCCAGCGGGCGTGTCCCCAGCCCAGGCACCACCACCCACGGGGCACAGTGTCAATGAGGCGCAGTATGGATGGGCCTGGGAGGAAGGCAGGGACTGCATACTCTTCCCACGCAGCGGCTAGCAACCCAGTAGTGAAACAGAGTAACACAGGCGATGTAGTCCGAGGATGAGACAGCGCCATGCACGATCACGCTGGGAATGGGAGACTTCCGCAGCAAAACAGAGGAGGCAGGCCGTTCCCGCGCTGCGTGTGTATAGGGAAGAGAGGCAGCTGAGACCAGCCCAGAGGTAGAAGAGGGAGGAGGGTGGTAGCAAAGGAGGCTGCCTAACAAACAAGAGATGGAGGAGAGATGGAAATCAGATGATGGAGAGCGTGGGAGAACAGATGTGGCAAACCAGACACGTCCCTAACATCCCCGTCAAGAACGCTTTCACGGCTTCCTACGTCCTCCCACAGTGGCCTGGAGATGTGCCCTGCCTAATGCGCTGGGCTTGTTGAGAGACTCAGGAAGTTCAAGGGAGGCCGTACAGTTACTGTAATCACAGCAGACACCCATCGCGCACGCACGCACGCACGCACTCACGCACGCACCCACACACGCACGCATGCACCCACACACGCACTCATCCATCCAAGCTTTAGAACTACCTGTCCACTGGGCAGCAAAGCTTTATCAGACAAGGAACTCACTTGCTTCGAGGCCACTGACCTTGGGCCTGAATCAGCCCAGGAACAAGCCAGGCATCCCAGACACAACATGACCTGTCACCTGCAGGCCCCTGGCATTCTCAGAAATAATAGCTGGGAGTTCCCCAGGACAGGGGCTTTCCGAATGGATGCAGTCCCTGTCTCCCATCTCCACCCTGGTTGTCCCTGGTAAGTGATCTACTACCAAAGCCAGTCAAGAGCAAAACAGAATTTCCTGAAAGGATGAGGGCGTGGTGACCAAGGGCTCCAGAGAACTGTTCCAGGAATGGTTTCTGTGCATGCTCATCTGAAGGAGAGCTCAGAATGAGGAGGACCCCAAGTTTCCTGGACCTCACAGCCCCTGTGTTGGTCTCTCTACAATCACATGGTTGTTCCCCTGGCAAGGAGCTACGTGCCAAGGAAGCAGCCAGTTGCCTTTCGGCTTCCTGAGGTGGCCTGAGGTTCACCTGCAGGGTCTGGGGCTTCTGCAGGCTCTGGCACATGCTGGGGCTGTCTGGCTCCAACACCACTCCAGGGGCAGTGAGCTGGCAGGCTGGGCTGCACCCTGGGAGGCACCCAAGGGAGCCGGCTGCTGCTCAGGCCGTGAATAACGGGAGCCTCATCGCCACCCCAGAGCTGCAGGGAAGGGAGCACCTGGCGGAGGGATGACTAAGAGAGCAGGGCCGGGCAAGTGGGTTCGAGCGGGACAGGGGACTCTTGCACACAAGAGCAGACCTTCCAACTGGGGTTCTGTGTCTCCAGCCCTTCTGCAAAGTTCCCGCACCCCAGCTGAGAAGTCTTCCCTCCCCCATCCACCATGGGTCAGGCCCGGAGTCCTCCCTCCCCGCCCCACGCCAGACATCCCCTGGCTGGCTCCCATGTCTCATGGGTCACCGAGAGGCATCCCATGTAGACTCACCTGGAAACATCTTGTCTTTACCTTTATAAAACCCTCTCCACCCAAAACCCAAAGTCCCTCCGCAGTCCTGCCACAGGGCAGAGGAAAGTGGCAAAATGCTTGCCAGATAAATTTTTCCCTTGTTTTTTTTTTTTTGAGACAAGGACTCACTATGTAGTTCAGGCTGGCCTCGGACTCACTTTGTAGCCCAGACTGGCCTCAAACTCGCAGTGAACCCCTGCCTCAGCCTCCCAAGTGCTGGGATTACAGGTCTGCACCACCACACCCAGCTGCAGGATCAATTTTGATAAACTCCTTTCTTCAAACTCTTCCTCACGGCCATCTCCCCCAGGGTCTCAGTGAGACCCTGTCTCAAAAATTAACGAATAAACAAATAAAAATAAAGTCTAGAATGGTAGCTTAGTGCAAAGGTGTACCCTCATTTCACAGATGGAGAAAGACAGGTTGGTATCTTGCAGCTTGCTTAATAAGGTCATGAGGTGATGCCAGGTGATACCACGAGCTGGCTCTGGCTTGCCCAGCCCCTCCTGTGTTTCAGGGCTTCAGCTATGCCCTCACATGCCTGCCTCCAAATCTCCAGCCCAGGATGGGCCTGGGACCCCCAGAGCATGTGTCACTGTTCTCTGTGACACCTCCCCCCAGATCTGCTAAGCTGAGGAACTGACTCCAACTCAGCTGTCACAGGCTCACTCTTGCTTTTGTTTGTTTGTTTTTGTCTTTTTGAGACAGAGTTTCGCTATGTACCTCAGGCTGGCCTTGAGCTCACTTTTTAGCTCAGGCTGGCCTCAAACTTGCAGCCATCTTCCTGCCTCAGCCTCCCTCTCGCATTTGAATCGTGTCATTCTGTACTGTGGTCCAACGGTCCCCAGTCCCACCGACACATGACACACCCCAGGAGGGCTCCGGACCGTGCGATTGGGATCAACCTCCTAGGCTACTGGTGTTTGGGATTTGTTTTCTTTTTATCAGCTGTGCTGCTATCTCTGGGATGGAGACTGCAGCCTTTCGAACCAGACAAGTACCTGCTGTGGAATTCCAGGCCCCTGTCCTGGAGGTGGATACGGGAGCCTGGGGTCCTCTTGGTCACTCTGGAACGAGCCACTCAGAGGCCCTGAGGCTGGGTTTCTGGGAGACAGGAGTGGAGGTGCTGCTACAGCCTGTGGAGAGGGGCTGGGGAGCAAACATGTCACACTGTGCTTTGCTATTTCCTTGAAGAGCACGTTTCTGTTCTGGCCCTTACCCTATTTTCTGTCTGTGGGTTATTTCTTGGTTTGTTTCTGTTTTTACTTGTTTGTAGCACTACGGGTTGGACCCAGAGCCTTCACACTGAGCTACACCCCAGCCATTTTTTACTTTGACACAGGGCTCCCCTAAGTCACTGAGGTACTGAGGCTGGGCTGGAACTTGTGATCTTCTGCCTCAGCCTCCCAGAGTGCTGGGACTGCAGGTATGGGCCACTGGGCCCGGCTTCTATGAGCTGGTTTTATGTTGATCTTGGACTTCAGGCCAGACTCTAAAGGGGGTGAAAAGGGAGCAAGAAGGTGGGAACTTGGTCCCAGGTATTGGAGGGATGTTCCCCCTTTAGGGTGGAAGACTAGTACCTTCCTTTCAAATTAGGAGAGAGCTAAAGGGGAGTTCACGAGACACGGGATGGGGCTGGGGGAGCTGGAGCCAGCCCCTGGCATCAGCTGCATGACCTTAAGCAAGCTGCAAGATACCAACCTGTCTTTCTCCATCTGTGAAATGGGTTTCATACCTTTGCTCTAAGCTACACCCCTAGACTTTATTTGTGTTTATGTATTCACTAATTTTTGAGACCTCACTAAGCCACTGAGTAAGTTGTCCAGGATGGGCTTGAACCTGTGATCTTCCTGCCTCAGCCTCCCAGAGTGCACCACCATGCCGGCTGGTGGCATCAGTCCTTCCTCCAGTCTCGCTGGGCATGGCAGGCTGGGGTGGGGATCCTAGGGACACCGTGGCCTGTTGGGAATGTTCCTTCTGTCCCTTGCGGGTGCAGCTTCCTCTTCTCCAGCACTGGGGTTTGCCTCTTTCCTAGCTCCCCTGCTGTGTGCCCAGGAAGAGAAAGGAGCTGTGCCCTCTGGCACCACAGATGGCAGCCCTGGGCTTGTCTCTGGCTCTTGTGGAGCTGACTGCCATCTCTGCCCCTTGAAAATCCTGCCCCAAACCCAGAGCTCTTCCTGGCTGTCTTACTTGGTTCCTGCAGCTAACTGGCCTTTGGAGACACGGCCATCCGGGCCTGTGTCGCGTGGGGCTTCTTTGGCCAGTGTCCTTCAGTTCTGCCCTTGGCCTCCCTGTGGTCCTCCTGACCTGGTTCTCCCCGCAGGAGCTCATCTGCCTTCAGAAGCCAGAAGAGGGCAGCGGGGTCCATTTCTTCCCACTGTGTCCGAACGGGAAGCCAGGACCTCCAGCTCAGATTCCAGCCCGCGCACCTGGAGGACAGTGAGCGGCACCTGCCGCCGTTGGGTTTGTTTACCTGTGGAACAGAAAGGCCCTGTCCCCAGCCGTCTGGAGAGTCACTGACTGCCCTGCGCATTGTTCCCTTTCCGGTGGAATTTCTGCTCTGAGGACTCAGAGTTGGCGTCTCACAGCTTGGTTTCCTCTTGTCCAGACAGGTCTGGCCACCGGCCAGGCGCTTGGCCACTCGTGGAGAGGCTGGGGACCAGGACGGCAGCGAGCTGAAGCAGGAGCAGGGAGCAGAAGTTCTTCGGCCATTGGGGCCCCTTATACAGCGGGCAGTGTCCCTGGGGTAGGGAGTCTGCTACGCTTGCAGTGGGCAATGTGAGCCCAGGGATCCCCCTCGGTGGACAGGAAGGAGGTTCCACATGGCCAAAACCTCCTCGGAACTCACGCTTTCAGTTGCCTTGTCCCTTACTTTGTTGCAAGACCCTGGCTCAAGAGGAAGGCCGCAGGCGCAGACAGGCTGGGATGGGGACCGACTTCCGAGGTCAGCTGGGCAGGGCACAGGCCTGGCCAACACTGTACCAACCCCACTTCCTGGGGGCTTTGCAAGGTATAGGAGGAAGAGGAGACACAAGGAGAGAGCCCGGGCCTTCGGTCCTACCCACAGCTCTCTGAGGACCTTGCCCACATGCCCATTGTAAAATAAAAAAGCACGGGTGTTTTTAAAATATTTTATTTATTTATTTATTTATTTATTTATTTTTGGGTCTTAAACTCCTGGCAACCCGCCTGCCTCAGCCTCCTGAGTGCCAGGATTTCAGGCATCTGTCACCATGCTCAGCTCCTGAGGTGTTAAATGCCCTTCCACCTTGGAGCAGAAGAGCCTCTGTTGCATCTGAACGGCCTCCAGTCTGCCACCTCGGCTCCCTTTGCCCCCTGCCCCAGAGCCTCCCTGAAGCCAAGGCAGGAGGCGATGCCTCCACGTGAGTAACAGTTACTCGCTCTGCCTGCATCAGCCTTACTCACGCCATCCTGTCCACTGCTCCTCACACAGACGGGGCACAGCAGGGCCCCCCAGGAAAGGGCCTCAGAGGACAGCGTGTCCGGGGACAGCAGGGAGGGCCCGCTTGGGGGCTCTGCTTTGGATCCAAGATCTCAGTGCACTAGTGAAGTCCTTTCTGGGTTCCTCCCGCGCAGGAAGCCACGTCACCCCATGTCATCCATGCCAGACCCCGGCCAGCGTCAGTGGTGGCCTTGCTCACCCAGCCTCTGGGGTCCCCTTAGGACCTGGTTAGCTGAGCCTTCTCCTCTCTAGCACATGTGCCCCGGTCTCTACTTACAGGAAACCAAGGGACTCAAAAGAACATACTATTTTTTTTTTTTTAGAACTACTGTCCTTCACTTTTTATTTTGAGACAGGGTCTCACGAAGCTGCTAAGGGCCCAAGCTAGGCTCAGACTTATGATCCTCCTGTTGAGGTTACAGGCACCCATCGCCATGCCTGGCTATGTTTTTTAAAAAGAAGAAGACAATTTTAAAGTCCCTGGGAATCTACTGGCCACTTTCTATGGCTAGATACAGCAGGGTACTTTACGCGTGCCATGTTGAGTCCTTAAGAATGGTGTACAAGAGAGGCATGGCCACCCATTCTGCAGAAGAGAAGACTGAGGCTCAGTAGAGAAATGAGGGTCTCCTGCTTGTGCTCAGGCCCTCGATGCCTGTGGGAGGACACTGAGGCTGTCTCAGACAGGAGCCAGCACGATCCATCAAGGCAATGACCCTGGGGAGATCCCGGGTCCAGAAGCCCTTCCCCATAAGCAGGCCGCACCAAGTGTGCAGCGGCAAGAGGCCATCCCGGGCGCTCCTGGTGCTGCCCGTCCTGCTCAGGGAGAGCTGCCTGAGGTCAGGCCAGGCAGCAGCAATGGGGACTGTGACAGTGATAGACATCGGGTTGGGGGCAGGGGCAAAGACACAGGAAACGGCAGGAGGAGAAAGCCCGGGGTGGACAGTGGTGGGAAAGCCTTCCCCTGGCGCTGCCAGCCTGCACCGGGGTACAGAGGGTTGCTTGGACGGCAATAAGAATGTCAGGAACTAAAGACAAGCACAGGATTGGCCCTGGACACCACAGAAGGTCCAGTGGCCTGTGTCAGGAAAGACCCCAAGGAGCCATTCTGTGGCATGTTGAGGAGGAAGACACAGCCACTTCCAGGCCTCCAGGCCCAGGTGGGGGTCTCCACTCCCCTCCTGTCCAACCTGGCACCTGGTCGCCCTACAGCTGCAGAACCACACAGAGGCCCTTGGGGGGACTGGGCACGCAGGCAGAGCCTGGCCAAGTTACGACATGGAGGACAGCCGAGGGGGACCAAGGTGACTCAGATAAAGAGGCATCCAAGTGTCCTGCTCCCATATGGCAGGGAAGCCAGAGAGAAAGGAATGGATGGTGACTCGGGGCGCCCCCAGAGCCTCCCCCACCGTGGCAAATTCCACCCATAGTGTGTCACCGGCTGCTTTGTCCCTGGAACCTCTGCCACCCACAAAGCTCCCACTGACCCCTGCCAGCATCTCTGTGGGCATCCGACTAGGTCAGTAGAAGAGGTGAGTCCACAGCCAGTCCAGAGAACAGCAAGGCAGTGAGGACATCTACTTGGAAGAGATGGGTAGGAGGGTCCAGAAAGAACAGACACTCACCAGGTGCAAGGCGGCAAGGGGAAAGAATGCTCCCTGGAAATGGGGACATGGACAAGAGGGGTTATGCTCTGTCCTTCCTCTACAGTGCCCTGTGACTCTCAGCCCCCTTTATCCATATCAGCGCCCCTACTTCTCCACTCTGCATGAGGAAGCCTCCAGGAAGCCTTCCCTCCACATTCCACAGTCCCCACAGCTCAGGCCTATGATTCAGCATTCAGGGAGTTTTATGCTTTTTTTTATAATTACTTATTTTTCCTTTTTAAAAAAAAAATTTGGTTTTCTGAGACAGGGTCTCGCTATGTAGTTCTGACCGGCCTGGACTCACTCTGTAGCACAAATTCAAGGCTAGCCTTAAACTTTGGATCATCCTCCTGCCTCAGCCTCCCCAGTGCGGGGATTCCAGGCATGCACCACTATGCCCAGCTTTGCGTCACTCTTTTACGCACGTTGATCTTTTGTCTCTAGGATATTGTTTCAGGGGAGGGAGGAGTTTCTATTTCTCTGCATCACACCACCAGACATTGATTGCCAAAGACAGTTTGGCCACATCAGGGAAGCCAAGATTCCTACACCAGTCAGAGTAAAATAAGAACAGGATGTGTGTCCAAAGAGAACTGTAAAGGAGACTTAGGAATGTAGAGAATGCGGAACTACCTTGGTAATGATGAAGGAAAGTGAATCACAGCTGGACAATCCAGATACTTGGACACAGAGAAATAGACATGGGGACAGAATCCAGCCAGAGGTGGTGCCCTGTGGGCTGTCCCCTCGCTGGCTGACATGGTCAAGCCCCATGGTCACATTCACCTCAGACATCACGCGCACCACGCGTCCCTGTCCGCCGGGCTTCCTCTTGGTACCCATGGAGCTTGGCGGGCACCAAGCTTGGTGCCTGTCGTGGTTTGGGGGTTACTGCAAGGTGAAACAATATAATAAAGGACACATATTTTGCAAGATTATGTATAACAGTCACCCAAAGAATGATATACAAGAAAGTATAGGAAATCTGTCCACATACTATAGAACAAGAATCCAGCTGAGGGCCTGGATCCCAAGATAATGCCCCACATGAGTCTAGCTGAAAGACCTAGAGCTCATAACAATGCCTTCCACGAGTCCAACTGGAGGCCCGGAGCCCATAACAATATCTCATGCAGGCCTGTTTCACGGATCTGCACTGGGAAGGCCCAAAGGTGAATGGTGGAGTCCAGGAGGTCTGTGCCAACGGGATGAAGGATCTGTGCTAGCAGGCTGAGGGATCTGCACTACAGCCTGGAAACGACGCGCAAAGAACCACAGCTCCCCCGAAAGGTACCACAGCTATCCTCAGCAACAGTGGGGTCCAGATCTCCTCCGATGAAGAAGACAGACGAGTTCTCACCAGGGGAGCCAACGCAGCAAGCTTCTCCAGAAGACTGGCAGGGCACCATCTTCCCCTCCGGAGCCAGGAAGCGATGCTCAAAGTGAGGACCAGAGCTCCCCCAAAGTGAACTAAGGCTATTCTCAGTGCCAACGAGGTCCCGAGCTCCTCGGAGGATGAAAACAGCCACGTTCATCAGGAAAGCCAGCATGACGAGCTCCTCCAAAACAGCCAACAGCTCCTTACAGCTTCAACCAGCTCCCAACAACCTTCCTCAACTCTCAACAGCTTCACTTCTCCTTCTCCAGGTCTGCCTCTTATGCTGCTGGCAACAGTCCCCAGGTGGGCCTCCCATACCCAGCACCACGCTTACTCAGTTCAGCTGGGGGTTATAAGTTGACCACCAGCTGTCAATCTGCTACAGTGCCCATGCAGGCCCCTGGGAGCTTTGTGCTTGCTTTGGGTCCCTGAGGGTCATCTGAAGTCACTGGACACTGACATGAGAGGCCAGCTGTAGATACCGCCAGGAACTGAAAGCACAGAAGATATGTTGGTGGTCACAGCAAGTTTAAGTACAGAAATGATCATACTATTATAGACAGCTAAGTTGGGTAGAAATATTCTAGGCAGTCAGGCAAGGCTAGGCCCTCAAAGAAGCCGGTGCACAAGATAATAACACATTACAACTGTGGCTGCAGGCACATTTGTTGAAGGCCAGGCCTCAAGATAAAGACCGAATGACTGGACCTACATACCTCCCCAAGGGATAAACAATAATCATTGATATTCTAAATAGGCATCAGCCACCTGGGTGGGTGACCAGGGCCTCCTGACTCATCTTTTCCAAAAAAGTTCCTTGTTCTTTCCAGTACTCTTGCTACGTGACTTGCTTCCCCGCTGGATCAACATCACCTAGCCGGCTCTACTTGCAGTCTTATTGGTTGATCATAGCTTTGTCCCGAGTTGTACCTACCTCATGATTTGTACCCACCTCATGATTTACCCACTTTGTGATTTTGCTTTATAAATCCTCCTCGGTGGAGTCCATGGCAACCTATTTTCCGGGTCCCCCTGTCTCTCTCGGCCAGGAACTGTCTCTCTCTCTCTCAATAAAACTTCCTTTTTTTTTTTTTTTTTTTGAACTTTGTACTCTTAACCTCACTGCTGCTCAGAATTCATTCTTTTTTTTTTTTTTTTGGTTTTTCTCTGGTACCGGGAACCGAACTCATGGCCTTGCACTTGCCAGGCAGGCGCCTTGCCGCTGAGCTAAATCCCCAGCCCCCAGAATTCATTCTTTGACTCCGAGGAGCATGAATTTGGCATATTGGACACCTAGCAGGTTGGGAGTTATAATATTTCCCTTATATCATCTGGAAGTCTTCTATCAACAAGACAAGGGGGGGACAAATGTATAAGAGTGGTTAAAGCGATCCAGAGTATGACAGGGAATCAGCAGATGGGAAACAGCCGGATGTGGTGGCTCACGCCTGTAGTCTCAGCCCTCTGGGACGCTCAGGCAGGAAGAACACAGGTTTGAGCCCAGCACAAGCAATGTAGTGATTTACGAGAGCCTGTCTCAAAATAATAAAAGTTTTAAAAAGCTGGGGACGTAGCTCAGTGCCCTGGGTTCAGTCCACAGTGAAAGAGGGAGAGTAAACCGAGGTTTGGCTAGGTGCCACACACCTGTAATCCCTGCTACTCAGGAGGCTCAGACCGAAGGATCACAAGTTTAAGGCCAGTCTGAGGAACTTAATATTCCTTAAAAATGTAAAAAGGACTGGAGATATAGCTCAGTAGTGGAGCATCCCTGGATCCTGGCTTCAATCCCCAGTAGTAAAAGAAAAAAAAAACAAAACCCTGAGATTGGTAGAGCATTTGCGTGGCAAGACCCTGTCTCAAAAAAAAAAAAAAAAAAAGGCCAGAGGCTGAGGCAGGAGGATTTGGAGTTAGATCAGCCTGGGATATTGGAATACATAGCAAGCTCCAGTCCAGCCTGGAGATGGAAGGAAACAGGAAAGAGGAGAAGAGAAGGAGAAGTAAAAAGGCTCAAGGTGCCATATGTATAAGTTTTTTGTTTGTTTCTTTGGGTTTTTTTGTTTTGTTTTGTTTTGTTTGTTTTCTGATGCGGTTTCACTTTGTAGTTCAGGCTGGCCTTAAACTCACAGTGATCCTCCTGCCTCAGCCTCCCAAGTGCTGGCATTATAGGTATGAGCCACAACACCCAGCCACCGTATGTGTGGGTATCAATGGTGAATATGCTTATTATGTAATGCAAACATACTAACAAAAATTTTTTTAAAAAGAAAAGAAACAAGCAAAGCAACGCACAGTCAGCAGCATCAGATTCCTGCCTGGAGGCCGGGCTGAATGACCCATGGCCACCTTTTTCCCATCGTGGTTCTGTTGCTGTGTGGATGTAAGCTCATCCCTCAGCTTCTCTGACCCTCAGGAGTGAGTTAAATAGTTCTCACTGGCCTCCTTGGGTTGAAAGTAGAATATATAAACCTGGAGCGCACAGGCTGCTGTGGGGAGTAGTGCAGGTTGGAAGAGAGAAGAGGCAGAGGGATGGGGCGCTAGGGAGAGAGAGGAGGGGAAACCCGGAGGAGGAGCTGGCTGACCGACCCAGGCAGCCGTGTCCGGGGTTGTGATCCTGAGGAGCAGAGGCCGACACACAGGCCACTCACCCCCGCTTGCCCCTGGAGAGGGCCCGAGCAGCCGGCCCAAACGCAGGCTATTTTGGGCGTTTGTTGTTTGGACAGACACCAGGCCAGAAATAGTCCTGTGAGTTAGCGGGACTTTGCCTTCTGCCACCCCCAGCTCTCCCAGCGAAATCACCCGAGCGAGCAGCGGAGGGCCGGGCCGACATTCCACGGAGCCTGTGTAACTGATGGGATGCGGGCTCCCTTCCCACAGGAAGGGCTCGGGAGCAGAGCCTGTGCCTGTAAAAGGGATTCTGGAAGGCCGAGGAGAGGGAACGAGGGATTGAGTCAGACAGCGGAAAAGAGGGAGTGGAGGAGTGGGGAGAGACCTCTTGCAGGAGAGAAGAGGAGACTCGAAGGACAGAAAGGGAGGCCAGGAGCTGGGCAGGGTGGCACACGGCTGTAATCCTAGCGCTGGGGAGGCTGAGGCAGGAGGATCGTTGCAAGTTCGAGACTAGCTTGGGCTACAAAGTGAGCTCAAGGCCAGCCTGAACTGCATAGCAAGACTGCGAGGGACAGAGGGAAAGTGAAGAAGGCAGTAGTGAGTTGGCAGCTGGTGGGGAAAGCAGGAGAGAAGCAAAGAGGAAGAGCAAAGAGCAGGCAAAGGGCAAGAGGGCAAATGGTGACAAAATACCAGGCTGTCAGAGGACCGTGGCTCCTGGGGCCCCGTGCCTACGTGAGGGTGGCGGGTGGGGAGAGGGACACTCATGGAAAATGTGCATCTGGTCCAGTCACGAACCACCTGTGGAAGTGGCAGATGGAGACATCTTTCCCAGCTAGCTGGAGCTGGAACTTCCCCAGAAATCCACAGCCTGCAACTCACTCTCTTATCTCTGCCCTCCCGGAAATCAGAGATCCAGTTATTTTGACATCAGGGACTTTTCTGTCTCTGTCCACCTGATCCCTTACCACAGCCAAAGCTTGACCGAGGGGATTGGGTCAAAGCTGCTTGGGGTGCAGGGGGAAAAGGGAAAGTGACAACCCTGTGAGTCAGTGTGGATTCTGAGAAGGCTGTTGCAGGGAGGCCTTTGGGGGAGTGACCCCTGGGAGCCCTCAGGAAGCTGCACCCTGTGTGACAGCCCAGCACGTCTTCATCTGCAGGGGTGGACGAGGTGTGGACAGGAGCAGCTGCTAGACCCTTTGGCAGCCCCAACCCACCAGAGTCAGTGGAAAAGTCAGACACTGAATACAGGACCCCTTCCTGCTGGGTTTTGCCTCCGTCCCTAATAATCATCTACCAGCTGCTGAAGGTTCCCCCTAGTTTGGGAAAAGTCCCCTTTGTAAGTTAACCCTTTCTGTTTCCAAAGGAAAATGCGCCCCCGGACCCTACAAGTACATAGAGCAGCTCCCCTGGACGTGTGCCCCAGATCCAAGCCACTTCTTGGAGTGGCAGATGGCATTGGGTCTACGAGTGGGGACAGAATTGGTCTCTGCCTGGCCAGCCCCCAGTCATCCACTGAAAACAGCAGGGACCTCTACGGCGGTGGCCTAGACAGGTGTAGGGATGAGAGACGGAAGGAGGAGGATCGGCTAGTGCAGCTGGAGAGCCCCAGGCCGGGCACCTGGAAGGGCCGCTTCTGGCTGCGACTGCACACACAGCTCGTCTGAGTCCCTGCAGCTTGGCATTCCCAGCCTAGACTCCCTGACCCCCCCCCCCCAGCCCTGACGACCAAGGTCAAAGTGCACGGGACATTTCTGGGGGTTCCCGCTGGTGTCTTCTGCTTCACAGAGATCAGGGCAGCTGCCTCTTCCTCGACACTAACCACCCTGTCAGCTTCCAAACACAGGTGATTCCAGGAGAAAGACGTAAACAAGAGGCAGCTCCGCAGGAACCGGTCTCGAACACGTCTGTGACCCTAACTTTCCGACTGAGGTTTCCCTGCTCTCCTGACACCCCCACCGGGTGGGAAGGCTGCTCAGTGGCTCTGTGGTTGCCCTTGGTAGCTATTTACTGAAAACTCCAAAACAAATGTCCCGACACTACCACCCACCCACTTAAGCTTCCTATGACTCTGTTATCAGCTGTTTCTATGGAAACTGCCTGCCATCGAATCGCGTCACCTACACAAAGCATGACAGTGTATGAACCCCACAGGCAAATGTACCATCTTCCCCCTGCAGCACGCTTTGGCATCCTCCCTTCCATCTGCAACATCCAGGCCCTGTGGCCAAGGCACCTGACCCTGCAAAGCCCTGAATATCTACCCTCAGAAGAACTCATGGGTCACTATTCCTCCTCTAACCCTAAGGCCCTAAAAGCATACCCCAAAAGCCCACCACTACTTCCTCCCACCCCTCCCCGCAGGGCCCCAGCCACCAGCATCTGCACCTGGAGAAGGAGGACCAGGCAGAAGTCCTCCAGAGCCAGCGCACACAGCTCGAAGGAGTGAATTTAACCCACTTCGCTCCTAACTCCTCACCCAAGGTTTACCATGGCAACCCCCGGTCCCTCTCAGCCACCCACACCCCACCCAGCACACCTCAAGCCCCAGCCAGCCAGACAGGGCTGTTGACACAAGACGAGCCCTCGGGGGCACCAAGAGAGTCTGGGCACGTGGGGAGTCAGCCATGCATCATCAGAGCACGGCGAGCACAAGGCGGGCATGAAGTCCAAGGCAGTCAGAGCCCAGACAGTCACAGGGCACACTGCATGTCCCTCTGTCCACCAGGCTGAGACCCAGAGGAGGGAGAGACATATTCTCCAGGAGGTTGCTTGGGGTGCAGGACAGCAGCACTGGGAAAACACTCTGCCAGATCATTCGCATCTCTGATAACTCCAGTTACCTATTTTTCTAAAGCAAGAGAGGAAAACATGAGCTGTTTTCCCTCAAGCTGAGCCCCAGGGAAGGCAGCTCCAAAATCCAGGCATTGTGGGCCATCAGGTGCTGCCAGAAATCACATTGGCAGAGTGTCCTAAGAGACGGGGCACAGGCAGGGGGTGGTCAAGTCAATGGAGGCCGCTAGGCTAAGGCAACCAGGGTTTGCTCAATTGTTCCTGAGCCCTCGCACAAGCACACTCCCGCAGAGGCACACATACACACACGCGCACGCTCACGCGTCCCAGCAAGTCCTGGAGAGGGAGTTGCTGAGGGAGCCAGCCGGGCTTCCAGAGCCAGAAAGTGGGAGGGGCCGAGCATGAGTTCATCTGTTTCCTGCTCACATTTGGTATAAAAGAGAGGCAGCAGCCCAGGAGGGACACAGCTGTGCCTGGCTCCAGGACCCAAAGCACTGCTGTCTAGGAGGGCCACCCCCCTTCCACCAGCAGCCCAGAGCCACAGCTCAGCTGCTGCCAAGCAGGACACACCGCCAGTCACAGGCACCTTTGAGGACGCCAGGTAAGACAAGCAAACTCCTCTCTTTCTGGGGCTTGCAGCCAAGAGCTCCCCTTCCCAGTCTCTTCCACCCAGATCCCCACTCTCTCTCTGTTTCTCCCCCCTGGAGCCCCAGGGCCTTGATCTATAATAGCAGTGACCACAGCAGAGCAAGGGAGGGGGGTCAGGCTCTGCCACTGACCCGTTACCCAGAACCAGGACCTTGGCTCTCTTGCTTCCCTTTCCAGCAAGACACGCACCCTACTCCCCCGCCTCAGGAGAGGGGCTTGCAGCTGCTCACTTGAACGAAACAGTAGTTGGGGATGTGTGGTGACAGAACCAAAAAGCACCATGCATGCCTCCCAGCCATGGGGCCGACCAGCGGTAGCATCTGCTGGACGTAGGGCGGGAAGGGCTCAGCATCCTGTCCCGTTAAGATCTCTTAGAACCTGAACTCACCCTGTTCAGGGGGTACCATCTCCTACTCAGCAGTCTTCTGGAACTTTCCCTCACTACGGCCTCTCCGTTTCATCCTAGGATGCACACGTCTCGGGCGCTTGCCTGCCTCGTCCTGGGCCTGGCCCTCGTCTTTGAGGGAGGGTCCACCTTGCACGCTCACGAGTCCCAGGTGGCCCAGCTGGCCACAGACTTCGGAGTGAAGGTGTTCCGGCAGGTGGTGCAGGCCTCCAAGGACAGCAACCTGGTTTTCTCGCCCTTTGGGGTGGCCTCGGTGCTGGCCATGCTGCAGGCGACGACAAGCAGAGAAACCCGGCAGCAGATTGAAGCGGCAATGGGATTCAACATCGACGGTGAGAGTCAGGGAAGAGGGGGGCAGGTGCCAGCGGTGTCCGAAGAGCAGGCACTGAACCAGTCAGGAGCTGGGGAAGGCTGGGCCCAGCTTAGCCAAGGGGACACTTATACAGCCGCAGTTCAGGGACAGCCTGTCTTCCCCACCACACCCGTGATCTGCCAGGGTGTACAGGCCAGTGGATTTGCCATTTATTTTATTAACTGTGGACCTTAACAGCTCTAAACTTAGTTTCTTTCTTTTTTTACCAATCAGATTTTATTGGTACATTATATATATATATATATATATATAATGATTACATTCATCATAGAGAATTTATACCTGTACATGATATAACTTATAAACCTCAGTCTCTTCATCTGCAGAATGGGCATGATAAAAATGCCCACAACATAGAGCCGAGTGAGTACTAGATGCAATTATGCATGTGAAATGATCAGCGCTGCCATTATTATAAGTTTAGAGTTCGTAATCCAAGAACAAGCTGGGTTCGGTAGTGCACGTCTGTAATCCCAGCACTCAGGATGGAACTGCAAACAGAAACACTGAAATAACACCCAGGATTTGGAGGCAAATTTATGGGCACTGATCGGGATCATTCTCAAAATATCAGGCCCTGAGTTCTGGGGTTTAGGGCTTATATGGGATAAGCAAGCAGGAAGTACAGAGGCAAAATGGCTCGTCAATAGGGGATTGGTTCTTATCATCTGCATCACAGTGACCAGCCGTTTCTGAGAGACAGAAGTAACAGAAACTGTAACCCGAACTAGTACCTGGGCAACTAATAAACTAAAGGACACTGGCTGGAGGGAGCATCTTCTGCAACAAGGAGGCTGAGGCAGGAGGATTATTCGAGTTTGAGGCCAGGCTGAACTGCCTATCAAGGCCCACCTCAAAGCATGACTACAAATAATAGTAACTTAAGAATAGAGAAAAACAATCAAACCCAAAGAAAGGGTTAGGACTTGAGCCTGGGGAGGAAAGGAGGGAGATGCAGAAAGAGATGAAAGTCTGGAATGAGCCTGATGGGCCTGTCCTTCTCTCTGGGCACAGGGAAGGGCGTGGCCCACGGTCACCTTCAAGTGTACAAGGAGCTCATGGGGCCGTGGAACAAAGATAAGGTCAGCATCACCGACGCCATCTTCGTCCAGAGAGATCTGAAGCTGGTCGAGGGCTTCATGCCCTACTTCTTCCGGCTGTTCCGGACCACGGTCAAGCAGGTGGACTTCACGGAAGTGGAGAGGGCCAGGTTCATCATCAACGACTGGGTGAAGAAGCACACGAAAGGTGAGTGGCCGGCCGGGGAAGGTCCCGGGCAGGAGAGGGGATTAGGAAACAGCCCACTCATCTGAGTCCTCCCATTCAGCCTTCTCCTCCAGGTGAGCAGAAGGCCCAGAGTTTTAAGGACCAAAGCATCTAGTTGGGTGTGGTGGTGCATGCCTATAATCCTAGCACTCTGGGAGGCTGAGGCAGGACAACTGAAAGTTTCAACACAGCCTAGGCAATTCAGTGATTTAGCAATATCCTGTCTCAAAATAAAAAGTGAAAAGGGAGCTGGGCGTGGTGGCCCATGCTTGTAATCCAAGCACTCAGGCAAGAGGATCACTGTGAGTTTAAGGCCAGCCTGGGCTACATAACGAGATCCTATCTCAAAAAAAAAGAAAGAAAAGGAAAAAAAAGTGAAAAGGGGCTGGGAATGTATGCTGAGCCAGGTGTAGTGGTGCATGCCTGTAATCCCAGCACTTGGGAGGCTGAGGCAGGAAGACGGGTGTGAAGTGAGTTCAAGGCCAGCCTAGACTCTATAGTGAGTTCAAGGCCAGCCTGAAATACATGGCCAGATCCTGTCTCAAAAATCAATAAACAAAACAAGCTGGGAGTGGTGATGCACACCTGTAATCCTAGCACTCAGGAGACTGAAGCAGGAGGATCATTGGAAGTTCAAGACCAGCCTGGGCTACAAAAGGAGCTCAAGGCCAGCCTAAACTATATAGCAAGACCCTGTCTCAGAAAGACAAAAACAAAAACAGAAAAACCCAAAAAAACAAAAACTTCAAAGCATTTTGCTAATATTTTTCTTAATTAGGATTTCTCATGAACCAACTTGATAGGCATCCCTACAAAGTATTGTGAGATCATTAAGGACAGTAGTGACCAAGACATGGATACATATGAGCCCTCAAGACAACTTGGACATCTTAATGGTATAGCAAAACACTATCTCAAAATTAAAAAAAAAAAAAAAGAAGTTTAGAAGGGGATTAGGAATATAGCTCAGGGTGAAAGGCCCTGGGTTCAATCCCCAGGAACACACACACACACACACACACACACACCATACAGCAGTGTAGAAGAGAAGGAAAGCAAAGCTGAAATTTCTTGCTCTGACCCTGGATAGGCTCACAGGGCCAAAAGAGTGTGGCCAGCCGGAAGACTCCTGAGTCTTTTAGAAAGATGGGACAAATGGAAAGCAGCTAGATGGGTCTATTTAAAACTCTGTTCCAGCTGGGCACGGTGTGGCACTCTTGTAATTCCAGCACTCTGGGAGGCTGAGCCAGGAGGATCGCAAGTTGAAGCCCAGCCTGGGCAACTTAGCAAGGCCTTATTTCAAAATTTAAAATTGGAAAAGGGCTGGGGATGTTGCTTGGTGCAAAGGCCTGAGGTTCAATCCCCAGCCAATCAATCAATCTTCCCCAGTGTGCCCTCTGGTTCCCATCCATATAGACCCACATGAGGGCTGGGAGCTGAGGAGAACCATCGAAGAGGCTTCGAAAGCGCCTCACGTCCCTATCTCTGGCTTTCTTCTAGATATGATTGGTGACTTGCTTGGCGAAGGGGCTGTGGACCAGCTGACGCGCCTGGTGCTGGTGAACGCGCTCTACTTCAATGGCCGGTGGAAGATGCCCTTCCCAGAGGCCGCGACCCGGCCCCGCCTCTTCCACAAGCCCGATGGCAGCACAGTCTCTGTGCCCATGATGGCGCAGACCAGCAAGTTCAACTACAGTGAGTACAAGACCCCCTCTCCTCATCTCAGAGACTGCCTCATCCCCTGCGTCTACCGGGGGCCTCAACATGTCACTCTTTGAGGGAGGAAGACCACAGGGAGTGCTCTCCTCTGACCCTCCAACACACCTCAGGGCCGACAAAGATTTCCCAAATGCGAGACCACAGGATAATGAGAGCAAAAGAAAGCAGTTGTTTCTCCTGCCAGATGTGGCTGAAATCCAGAAATTCCCCAAGCCCACACTTGAGTGACCATTCCCCCGTGTTTCACCTTCATGGCCTCTAGTGTGATCATCTGAGGCCAAAATGTCCTGCCAGGGAAGGGCTAGGTGCAGCATCAGATTTGAGGGCATCAGGAGTGGAAAGAATTAGTGGCTAGGTGTAGCAGAAGGGAGTTAAAAGGTCAAGAAGACCCAGAAAGAGGGGCCGGGGATATAGCTCAGTGGCACAAGCACCTGCCTGGAAAGTGTAAGGTCCTGAATTCGATTCCTGGTACCAAAAAAAAAAGAAAAGAAAAGAAAACCAAGAGGGAGAGAGAGGAGGGAGGAGGAGGAAGAGGAGGAGACACTGAACTGGCAGAAGAGAAGGGAAATGGGAATAAAAATATTGACTAGGTGCGGGGGGCGTAGCTCAGTGGTAGAGCACTCACCTCATGCGGTCCTGAGTTCAATCGACCCACTGTAAACACAAAAACCATAAACCTTTGACATTTGAACGGAGCAGTGGTGGGGGAGTCTCTGAAAGCCCATTGCTGAGCGAGAAGCCATAACATTGGAGCCATTTCCCAGGCGCCATCTTGGTTTCTCCACAGCGGAGTTCCTCACCCCTGACGGAGACTACTACGACATCCTGGAGTTGCCCTACCACGGGGAGACCCTCAGCATGTTCATCGCTGCTCCCTACAGAAAAGAGGTGCCTCTCTCTGCCATCACCAACATCCTGGATGCCGAGCTCATCAGCCAGTGGAAGGGAAACATGACCCGCCGGACCCGCCTGCTGGTCCTGCCCAAGTAAGCCACCCTGTGGGCTCGCGCCTGTCTCCTCGTTCCCTGAAATCACTGTTCCCTTGTTTTTGTTTTTTTTTTTGGGGGGGGGTGTTTCTCTGGTACCAGGAATCGAACTCATGACTTTGCACTTGCCAGGCAGGCGCTGTGCCACTGAGCTAAATCCCCAGCCCCTAGTGTCCCCTTGTTGAGTTTCCCAGATCTGTGATGCTGGTAGGGCAGGGATGCGTATGGGAGGCTGATGGGAAACACTGGCCTGGGTTTGATTATAATTCCTGCATCATCCCTCTGCTTGTTTCCATGTAAGTGCAGGGGAGAGAGTCTCTAGACTGTGTCGCTCTACTGACCACCCCCAGCATACCCAGGAGGGGAGCTGGAGGACTGATGGAAATGCAGGAGGCTGAACTGATCTGTAGCCATGTCTGCCTATCCTACATTTCCACCTCCATCTCCCGGAACCAGCATCCACACAGTAGAACAAAAGAAATCACTTCCGAGATGGGACAGCCCAGACTGCAGCTTCTGGCTGGAGTTCCAAGGAACAGATTTTTTTCAATCCTTCTGCACAAGCAAAGGGGGTGGAGAAGGCTGAGGCTGGGTAATCACAGGGAATCTCCCGCCAGGCTTACCTCAAACTTCCAGATGCTATAATGCCAAGCTTGGGGAAAGAGGAGAATTTAGTTGCTTAGTTAGCTGCTCAGATTCCCTCTCTCACAAGAATGAGGTAATTAGGCTCACCCTGGCGGGGAGCAGAGAGCCCTCCAAAGCTTTGCTGCTTGAGTTCTCCATGGGGTTAGTGCTCAGAAACAATCTACAGCCAGGCATGGTGGTGCATGCCTGTAATCCCAGCACTTGGGTGGCTGAGGCAAGAGGATCCTTGCGAGTCTGAGGCCAGCCTGGACTCCATACAAGACCCTGTCTCAAAAAAAAAAAAAAAAAAAAAAAGAAAAGGACAAAAGAAACACAACCATTAGATGAGATTTTTATTCAAACATCCTTTTTTTTTTTTTTTTTTTTGTCTTTTTGAGACAGGGTCTCACTATGCAGTTCAGGCTGGCCTTGAGCTCACATTGTAGCCCAGGCTGGTCTTGAACTTGCAACGATCCTCCTGCCTCACCCTCTTGAGTGTTGGGATTACAGGCATGCGCCACTATGCCTGGCTTGTTCAAACATCCTTGCAGGAGAGTTTGCCCTTCCCACCCTCCCCTCAATTCAGACTGAATAAAATTATGCTGCAAATATTGCCTTATTTGAGAAAAGTAACTAGTTGCAGGTTCGAGGCAGGCAGAGAAACTGAAGAAGAATATTCCCTAGTATTAGAAACTTCCAGAAAGGAGAGACTTTTCAGACAGACCTCCTTCTTCCTCCGTGCCATCAGTTTCCTCCCTATGGATCTGCCCTGGGATTCCTGGGGGGGGCATTGGGAGGTGCAGGTGCCACAGAAGGAGGAGCTGAGCTGGAGCTATCTCCTGCTGCCAACAGGTTCTCCCTGGAGTCAGAAGTGGACCTCAGGAAGCCCCTGGAAAACCTGGGGATGACCAACATGTTCAGGCCAGACCAGGCAGACTTCACAAGGGTTTCAGGTAAGACACTGTGTCCCTTGCTTTCCTAGCCCTCCAGCTATGGGCCCCCTAAGAAGACCAAGGAGACTCCCTGAGAGCAAAGACTGATCCACTCTGGCATTTCCCCCCATTTCAGACCAAGAGCCTCTGTACATATCGCAGGCGCTGCAAAAAGTAAAGATCAAGGTGAACGAGAATGGCTCAGTGGCCTCCTCCTCCACAGGTGAGTCCGCCTCACTGAAGCTGCCCCAGTCTCAGCTCACTCCTGGCACCTCCATGGCCCTGCAGGAGAGCTACCCCCAACCACAGAAGGGACCCCTGCTGCCCTGTTCTGCTCCAGCCTCTCTCCCCAAGCACACTTCCTGTGAGGACAGGAAGTGTTCCTGTCCTTTGTCACCTGTTTCTCAGCCTGGAAGATGAACATGCTTTCCCTAGGACCCTGTTCCCTCACCTATGGCTCCTGAGGTCCCCGAATCTGAGAAGCCCCACCTAAAAGCCTGGGCATGGAGGTGTACACCTGTAACCCCAGCACTCTGGGAGGCTAAGGCAGGAAGATCTCAAGTTCAAGCTCAGCCTGGGCAATTGAGCAAGACCCTGTCTCAAAATAAAAATAAATAAATAAAGGACTGAGGATGTAGCTCAGCAAGAAGGCCCTGGGTTCAATGCCCAGTTCTGGAAAAAAAAAAAAAAAGCACCCCCCCCCAGGAAAGTCTGAACTGGTTCCACAATAGGGAAATAAATTTAAGGATCTTGCTTATCAATAAAGCTTTACATAAGGGAGTAACCAACTGCTAGGTCTTGACCAAACTCCTGGAGGAAACCAGGTCTCAGAGGATGTCCCTCAGCTTCCAAGACCCATATTCAGGAGAACAAAGAAGCCACCTAAAAGTGGCTTCTAAATTTTCTAAAAGAAATTTTGCTTCCCACGTTGTCAGATGGGAGGCTGGCGTCCCTGGGTCCCTTGGGAACAATCCAGGCACTCGTGGGATGTCTCTCTCTCCTAAAACAATATCCCTTCTCTTCCAGCCGTTGTGATCTCAGCCCGCATGGCCCCTGAGGAGATCATCTTGGACAGACCCTTCCTCTTCGTGGTCCGCCACAATCCCACAGGTAACACCCCAACGTTCCCCTGGCCCCCATTGTTGTCTCGGGCCATCAGACAGCTGTAAATGCCCCTCAAGTCCCCAAGGATGCTGGGCAAAGAACTGGGTCTCTCTCCTGTCCTCAGAGAAGGCCGCCAACTATCGCAGCTCTCGAAGGACTACAGTCCTAACTTAGTCACTGAACGGCTGAGACTCGGGACAGCCACCCATCTTCTTGGATCTGTTCACCCGTAAACGTCGTGGTCCCTTTTCTCACCTTTCACAATTCTGCCATCCGCAGGGACAGTCATCTTCATGGGGCAAGTGATGGAGCCCTGACCATGGAGCCTGCCCTTGGAGCGAAACTGGAGATGTATCAGAGAAAAAGAAATTTTGCTCTAATGATTCTTTGCAGAGAAAGAGAGGACATTTGCCTTTTCCCTTCCGTGGTAAATCTTTCCAATCAGCCTCCTCCTCGACCTCAGCCTCCGTGGGAGGAGCCTGGAGTCTGACTCTGGCTGGGGCCTCGTGCCCAAGGCCCCTGGAACATAAAGGTCTCCAACCCAGGCTGTAGGACCTGCAGAACCGCTGGCCAGATGTGTCTGCTTATCTCTCCGCATACTGGGTCCTCAGACCTGGTTCTCTGCGAGGCCCTGGCAGCCCGGAACCATGAGGCTTACTGGAGCTTGTGTGTGCTGGGTAGGAACGATTTGTGTTCCAGTCACGCTGCTGTCATCCCTGCCCTGTCTACTACGGCGGTGGTGGCTGGCGGCAGGCCAAAGAAGGCCGATGGAAGGAACACGCTTTCATTTCAACGTCCACCCGGGCGCTGACCACCGCCCCCCTCGCAGAGGGGCCACAGACTGGCAGAGCAAACGCCAAGCCTCCCTCCCCCAAAACTGTGCACATATCATTCTGGAGTGTAGGTGATTGTTTACTCATAGAAGCAGGTTTTTGCTTCCCACAAACTATTTCTGCAGGAAGAGAAGAAAGGTCAGATGTGTGCCTGGCTCTTCACCGGCACCCGGCCTCCTGGTGGGGAGGGTGGGATGCCAGGGGTGTACCTGAATATTTATCACATCCTTGCCTTTGTGTGCTTGTTAGAAAGGAAGATGATTACTGAGGAAAAGGTGTTATTTAAGCTTGTGCGTAGTGTTCTTTTGTGGTTTCGGCCATCGCATCTCAGGAGTCCAGCGCTCCAGCCTGTCGCCCTCCGGGTGCGGACGTGCCGGGCTCCACACCGCCACCTCGTGGCTGCCTCGGCCCCACGCCTCCTCTTCTTTCCTTCCTCTTGGCCAAGGGCTCCTCCTTAGGGACCAAAAGGATGGGGTGGGTGACATGACAGAGACTTGAGTGAGGACAAAGTGGTTTCAAATTTTTCCAATATATTTAGAGCAGAAATGCAAGGGGCTGCATGACCTACCAGGACAGAACTTTCCCCAATTACAGGGTGACTCACAGCCGCAGTGGTGACTCACTTCAATGTGTCATTTCCGGCTGCTGTGTGGGAGCAGTGGACACGTGAGGGGGGATGAAAGAGACAGCCAGCTCGGACTCCAGCACCTTGTTAGATAATCTTTTTGGAACCCTACTAGCTGGGGGTAGGCAGGAAGGCCAATTTACTGAAGAACTGCACGTGGCTGTGAGATGAATGTAATCTAATAGAAGTCTCGTCACCCCACCATGCTCTCCATGGAAGAATCCTCATGCTTTGTGCTTTTTCGTTTGTTTGTTTGTTTGTTTATCTGATCTTTTTCTTCTTTTTCTTTTCTCATGATATGCACTGGACAATGACAGCCACCCGCAGCCCTTGTAGGGGGTCCCTAAACATGGGATCAAATGTTCTTGAAGTTGTGTTCAACTATTTACGTTTTCACTTTTGATAGAGAAATAAATATGTATTTTAAAGTAATAATAAAATAAATATAAAGCACATGCCAGACAGCCCGTCTTCACCTTCTGGGTTCCCTGTGGTACAAGGAATCAAAACCCATCCGACTGGTGGATCTCTCGGTGGCTGGGATCTCTGTGAAATGCTCTCCCATAGCACAGGTGTGTAGGGCTGCCGTGGGCGTGCCCCAGAGTTGTGACCACGAATCCGCAACATGCTCCAAGGACATGCAGTGGGGATTTCATTCTCCCCTGGGAATCATCCTTAAAAAAGAAAGAGGGGACTAGGAGAATAGCTCAGTGGTAGAGTGTTTGCTTAGCGTGCATGAGGCCCTGGGTACACCACTAATGAAGAAAGAAGGGAAGGGAAGGGACGAGGAGGGGAGGGGAGGGGCAAAGGGAGGGGAGGTAGGGGAACTGGGAGGGAAAAGGATACAGTTTCCCCCAACAGCTTCCACTCACCCTGCCAGGCCCAATCGTGGTCACTGTCCCTATGAGTTGTCAAGTCCATTCGTGTCCTTTCCCTCCCCCACACCCCCCACAAACCCCTCAGATGCTCTGGAGTCCAGCCACTACCTGAGGTCCACTTCTCATGATTGCATGCATGTGCTCTCCCACCCAACCTAGAAATCAGGTTCCTTTCAAAGGCTCCTTTGTTATGTATCTGCTCCTATCCTCCCTAAAAGGCTTCCTGAAAAACTGTTTTCTCCCAGTTTTCGCTCTGTTTGCCTGTGCTGGGGACGGAAGCCAGGCCTTGCACCTGCAAAGCTGTACCACTGAGCTGTGCTCCCGGCCCTCTCAGGTGTGTGAAAGGCTCCAGAAAGAGGACACAATTCTCCCAGTTACTTTCTGCTCACATTTTCAAAACCAATTTTTAAACTGAAAACAACACCAGTAACTGTCTATCAAGCTTGCAGGCCATCTAGCTCCAGAACCCGAAGATAGGACTGATTGGTGAAGGCAAACCTCTTGGAGCTTTCAATGATACAAGCAGCCCACTGTGGCACGCACTCCATAGTTTCGCCACCACTGGGATCGATAGCTCTCTGCATGCATAGCTCATTTCTGAATAGGAACTACTCACCTGGGATCTGACTCAAAACACACGGTCGAGTAGTTAAGAGGTAGTAAGTTCTCTGTCACAGGAAGTAGTCAAGGATGGCTAGATTGCTACTTAGCAGGAATGCTTTAGTAATCAGGGTACAGATTTAGTGACTTTTTAAAAATTATACTTAATAATATGCACATAGTAAGAAGTTCAAACAGTTCACAAAGATAAAAGTAGGCCAGTGTGGCTGGCATGCCTGTAATCCCAGCACTCAGGAGGCTGAGACAGGAGAATTGCCTCGAGTTTGAGGCCATCCTGGGCTAAATAGTGAGTTCAAGGCCAGCCTGAACTACATAGCAAGACCCTGTCTCAAAAACCAAAAATACTTCCAGCCTTAAAGCTGATTCTGGCAATACAAACATTTTCAAACACAAGCAATCAAAAGGGATCATTTGCCTGGTGAGACTTACCTTTCTCTCAAGTTTAAAAGCATCTTCACCTTATTAGCCGGGTGTGGTGGTGCATGCCTGGAATCCCAGCACTCGGGAGGCTGAGGCAGGAGGATCATTATGAG